GTTCAGAATGCTCTTTGATTGGAGGTGAACTATAAATCCCAGCAACTACAATTCCCAAATGACAACATCAATCCTCTCCACAACCCCACCAGTATGCAAATTTGGTTGTATTATTGGGTATTTGTGCCCAGTTTGGTCCAGTGAATGCAAATATATCCTGCATATAAGATATTTACATGACAATTCAGAACAGGAGCAAAATTCCAGTTATGAAGTAGCAGCAAAAAAAAATTTAATGGTTGGGGTCACCACAACATAAGTAACCGTATTAAGGGGTCGTGGCATTAGGAAGGTTGAGAAACACTGAATTAGGAAATGGCATTGATAACCCAGGAGCAAAATTTACACTGTGATGATGGAGGAGTTGCACATGCTGCACAGATGCATCAGGCCAGGATCTGACTTTCTGAGGCTTGACGTGTCAAAAGACTTGCTTTGCAATGCTTGCAACATCCTTTCTCTCCCCCCCCCCCCCAACCTCTTCCTTTCAAGGTTTCTCAATGAAACAATGGCTTCTTCTTCTTGGGGGGTCTGAAGGTCGAAAGGTGGGGCCCACTTCCTGCCTCCCTCCTCCATTATTCACCACTTCCTGAATCCTCACCCACTTTGTGAGTCACCTGGCCACACAGGCAAGGCTCAGCAAGGCTTGCAGCTCCTTTGCTGCACCTTCTGCATTCATTCTCAGCCATACAGAGATGTACCTATATACATAAAAATGTCATGTTCATTTGTGAGATTTATTTATTGATCGAGTCAGGGGCAACCAGACGATTGTATTACATTTCTAACAGAACAAAACGAACAAACAGATTAAAAAAACACAAAGTTTGCAAACTTGGTAGCTGATTAAATGTCCTTTGCCCAGTCTCTGGCCCCTTGGAGTGCCTCTGGTGTTGCCGCAAGAAGGTCCTCGATCGTGCATGTGACGGAACTCAGGTTGCATTGCAGCAGGTGGTCAGTGGTTTGCTCTTCTCCACACTCGCATGTTGTGGACTCCACTTTGTAGCCCCATTTCTTGAGGTTGGCTCTGCATCTCGTGGTGCCAGAACGCAGTCTGTTCAGCGCCTTCCAAGTCGCCCAGTCTTCTGTGTGCCCAGGGGGGAGTCTCTCATTTGGTATCAGCCCTGGGTTTGAGCCTGCCACTTTTGGACTCTCGCTTGCTGAGGTGCTCCTACGACTGTTTCTGTAGATCTTAGGAAGCTATTTCTTGATTTAAGTTGTTGACGTGCTGGCTGATACCCAAACAGGGGATGAGCTGGAGATGTCTCTGCCTTGGTCCTTTCACTATTGGCTGCTCCTTCCTGGCGGATGTCAGGTGGTGCAATTACCGGCTAAGCGGTGTAATTTCTCCAGTGGTGTAGGACGCAGACACCCCGTGATAATGCAGCATGTCTCATTAAGAGCCACATCCACTGTTTTAGCGTGATGAGATGTGTTCCACACTGGGCATGCATACTCAGCAGCAGAGTAGCACAGCGCAAGGACAGATGTCTTCACTGTGTCTGGTTGTGATCCCCAGGTTGTGCCAGTCAGCTTTCGTATGATATTGTTTCTAGCACCCACTTTTTGCTTGATGTTCAGGCAGTGCTTCTTGTAGGTCAGAGCACGGTCCAAAGTGACTCCCAGGTATTTGGGTGCGCTGCAATCCTCCAGTGGGATTCCTTCCCAGGTAATAATCCTGAGAGCTCGGGATGCTTGTCTGTTCTTGAGGTGAAAGGCACATGTCTGTGTTTTGGATGGGTTGGGAATCAGCTGGTTTTCCCTGTAGTAGGCAGTAAGGGCACCTAGAGCTTCGGAGAGCTTCTGTTCAACCACCTCAAAGCTCCCTGCTTGAGCGGTGATGGCACAATCATCAGCATAGATGAACCTCTCTGTCCCTCATCGCTGGTCATTTGTGTAGATGTTGAACATGGATGGAGCGAGCACGCTCCCCTGAGGCAGGCCGTTCTTCTGTTTCCGCCATCTGCTTCTCTGGCCCTGGAACTCAACAAAGAAGCTCCTGTTTTGTAGCAGGTTTCCTATGAGGCGGGTGAGGTGGTCGTCCTTTGTGATATTATACATTTTTCTCAGGAGGAGGCAGCGGTGGTATCATAAGCCGCTGACAGGTCTATGAAGACACCTCCTGTGATCTGCTGCCTTTCAAAGCCATCTTCTATGGGCTGAGTCAGGTTCAGCACTTGCGATGTGCAGCTTTTGCCTTTCCTGAAGCCAGCTTGATATGCAAGATAAGTCTCTCCAGAACTTTGTAGAGGTGGCACAACAGGGAGATTGGTCTGTAGCTTTTTGGGTCATGACGGTCTTTGCCTGGCTTCAAGATGGCAATGACTCTTGCTTTCCTCCAGATTTTGGGGATCTGACAGGATGCCGTGCAGTTGTTCATCAGCTCCAGCAGCCAGCGCCTTGCTTTTGGGCCAAAGTTCTTGATTTGTTCCATCTGTAGATCATCCAAGACAGCTGCTTTGCCATTCTTACATTTATTGAGAGCCATGTCCAATTCAGTAGATGTAAAAGGTTATTCTGTTTCCGCCATCTGCTTCTCTGGTTCTGGAACTCAACAAAAAAGCTCCTGTTTTGCAGGTTTCCTATCAGGAGGGTGAGGTGGCAATATTATTAGTAATATTACATGTAATATAAATATATAATTATAATATCGTATTATTACTATATTGCATTACAGCATAATATTATAAATATTATATGTATATACAATATATTATATTATTAGGGCAGGAGACAGACGCATACAATTTTAGGGGATTGGGGAAATTAGATTTAGTGGGTGTTTATAAGTCTTGCATTGGAAAATAAGAATTTTGGGAGTTGGAAGGGACCCCAAGGGACATCCAGTCCAACCCTCTTTTGCAAAGCAGGAGGCAGAATTACTATGATATTATTACCCATTAATATTATGATTAGACTCATAGAGTTGGAAGGGGCTCTCTCCAAAGGCCATCCAGTCCAACCCTCTTTTGCAAGGCTGGAGGACACCATCCGATCCCTCCCAACAGATGGCCATTCAGCCTCTGCACCATAACAATACAAAGCAAAGGAATGCCCTCCTCCAGTCCTTAAAGCAGGCATGGGCCAGTTTGGGGGATTACTTCAGGTTTTTTTGACTTCAACAGATGAGGGTGAAAAGGGAAAACCCTGAGGCTGTGAGGAATTCTGGGAGTTGAAGTCCCAAACGCGCCCCCTTAAAGTCTCCGCCGCGCCCCTAGCGGCCACTGGAGGTGGTGCCGCGGGAGAGGACAGCGCGTGTGCGCCTGCGCAAGAAGAAAGCCACCTCGCCTCGCTTTTTTCACTGAGGGCGTTCTGCGCCTGCGCGAACAAGGAAGCAAGCCCGCCTTTTCTGTGCTTCTGCGCGGATAGGAAGGAGCCTCGCCCTTAACCGAAGGGGCGCCACGGCGGCGTTCTGCGCTTGCGCGGGGAGGAAGGCACCCCGCCCTCGCCTTTTTCATTCTGCGCTTGCGCGAGGGGAAAAGCCCCGCCCTTAACCGAAGGAGCGCATTCTGCGCCTGCGCGGGTAGGAAAGAAACTCCGCCCTTAAGCGTAAGAGAGCGTCGTGCGCCTGCGCGGAGAGGAAGAAGCCACGCCTCTGCCTTGGAAAAAAAGCGAGAGGGCGGCATTCTGCGCCTGCGCAGAAAGAAAGGCGCCCGGATCTCTTCTTGTAACTGACGTAGCGTTCTGCGCCTGCGCGGGGAAAAAAGAGCCCCGCCCACGCCTTTTTCTTTTAACTGACGGAGCGGGAGGACGGAGTTCTGCGCCTGCGCGGGGAGGCGAAAGAGCGTGTTCTGCGCCTGCGCGCGGGGAGGAAAGCTTCCCCAACTAGAGGGAAGGCGTTCTGCGCCTGCGCGGGGAAAAAAAAAAGAGCCCCGCCCTCGCCTTTTTCTTTTAACTGACGGAGCGCGAGGACGGAGTTCTGCGCCTGCGCGGGGAGTAACGCAACCCGGCTTTGAAGCGAAGGAGCGTGTTCTGCGCCTGCGCGCGTAGGAAGCGGCCCCGCCCTTAACCGAAGGAGCGCGTTCTGCGCCTGCGCAGGTGGGAAAAGACCCCCGCCTTTCCCTTTTCCTTTAACTAAAGGAGCGTTCTGCGCTTGCGCGGGAAGGAAAGATTTCCTCTACTCTTCCTTAAGCCAAAGGGGGGCGCAGAGGGAAGAAACCCCGCCCCTGCCTTGCAAGAAGAGCGCGAGGGCGGAGTTCCGCGCCTGCGCGGGGAGGAAAGATTTCTCCTTTGAGCCAAAGGGGGGCGCAGAGGGAAGAAACCCCGCCCCTGCCTTGCAAGAAGAGCGCGAGGGCGGAGTTCCGCGCCTGCGCGGGGAGGAAAGATTTCTCCTTTGAGCCAAAGGGGGGCGCAGAGGGAAGAAACCCCGCCCCCGCCTCGGAAGAAGAGCGCGAGGGCGGATTTCTGCGCCTGCGCGGGGAGTAACGAGCCCGGCCTTGAGACGAAGGAGCGCGTTCTGCGCCTGCGCGGGGAGGAAAGTTTCCCCATGCTTAAGCGAAGGAGGGCGTTTCCGCGCCTGCGCGGGGAGGAAAGATTTCTCCTTTGAGCCAAAGGGGGGCGCAGAGGGAAGAAACCCCGCCCCTGCCTTGCAAGAAGAGCGCGAGGGCGGAGTTCTGCGCCTGCGCGGGAAGGAAAGCTTCCCCATCTTTAAGCGAAGGAGGGCGTTCTGCGCCTGCGCGGGAAGTAAAAATTTCTCCCTTAAGCCAAAGGGGGGCGCAAGAGGGAAGAAACCCCGCCCCCGCTTTGGAAGAAGAGCGCGAGGGCGGAGTTGTGCGCCTGCGCGGGGAGGAAAATTTTCTCCCTTAAGCCAAAGGGGGGTGCAAGAGGGAAGAAACCCCGCCCCCCTTTGGAAGAAGAGCGCGAGGGCGGAGTTCTGCGCCTGCGCGGGGAGGAGAAATTTCTCCCTTAAGCCAAAGGGGGGCGCAGAGGGCGGAGTTCTGCGCCTGCGCGGGGAGCAACGAGCCCGTTCCTGAGGCGAAATTGCGCGTTGTGCGCCTGCGCGGGGAGGGATAGGCCCCGCCCCCTTCCCTTCCCCTCAGTCCTTCTTCTGCCGCCCTCGCGCCCGCCCGGCCTGAGTCCCGCTCCCGCCGCGCCCTGAGGAGGAGCTCCCGAGCCCGGCTCCTGAGGCCGAGAAGGAAGGAAGGAAGGAAACAAGGCAGGCAGGAGCGCCCTCCTCTCCTCTCCTCCCTCCCCGCGCCTCTTGGCTTGACTTCCGCCGGGCAGGCCTCCCTCGCCTTTCCCTCAGCGCGGGCCATGAGCGGCTGGAGCTGCTACATCGACAGCCTGATGGCGGACGACACGTGCCAGGACGCGGCCATCGTGGGATACAAGGAGGCGCCCTCCGTCTGGGCCTCCGCCCCCGGAAAGACCTTCGCCTCCATCACGGTAAGCACCCCAAAAACCCCTCAGGACACGCGGACTACAACTCCCATAATCCCTAGCGGCATCAGGCCCTTTCCTCCCCCCCCCCACAGCCGGGACTACAACTCCCATCATTCCTAGCGGCCTCAGGCCCATTCCTTTTCCCCCACAGCCGCTTAAGCGGCGGGGGGAAAAGGAAAGGGCCTGAGGCCGCTAGGAATGATGGGAGTTGTAGTCCCACGCGGCTGGAGGGCGCCTCCAAGCAAAAAAGGAAGGAAGTGGCTCTGAGGCGAAGAAAGAGACCGTTAGGAGGGTCAGGAATGTGACCCGGAAGTAGCCCCCCCCTCCTCTTTCCTTCCTTCCTTCCTTGCCACACCCCAAAGGTCAAACAACCCCCCCCCTTTTTTTTTTTTGAAAATTTAGGGCCAAGGAAGGAAAGAATACGAAGAATAGCAACCAAACAAACCTAAACAACACATAAATAACATCCATTCGAACTTAATTGAAAAGAGCAGTTAGAAAAAAATAAAATATATATTTTTAGGGGGGGTGTCTTTGGACCAAGGAAGAAAAATAATAATAATACCAATAATAATAGATACTATTCCTCATGCCAAAATGAGCAATAAAACAAAACAACGCATAATAACATCCATAGGAACTTAGCTGAAAAGAGAAAAAATTGGGGGGGGGGGTTGGGCCAAGGAAGAAAAAATATATATTTAGGGCCAAGGAAGAAAAAATAATAATAACAACAATAATAATAGTTGCTATTACTCACGCCAAAGTGAGCAAACAAACCAAAACAATATATGAATAACATCCACAGGAACTTAACTCAAAAGAGTGGTCAGAAAAAATATAAAATATATATTTTTAGGGGGGGGGTCTTTGGGCCAAGGAAGAAAAGAATAGGAATAATAATTATTATTACGCCAAAGTGAGCAACCTAACAAACAAAAGCAATACATAAATAACATCCATTCGAACTTAAATGAAAAGAGCAGCCAGAAAAAAATAAAATATATATTTTTAGGGGGAGGGGAATCTTTGGGCCAAGGAAGAAAATATAATACCAATAAAAATAGTTACTATTACTCACGCCAAAGTGAGCAAACAAAGAAACCAACACAATACATAAATAACATTCATAGGAACTTAGCTGAAAAGAGTGGCCAGAAAAAAACCCCCAATAATAATAGTTACTATTACTCACGCCAAAGTGAGCAAACAAACAAAAACAATACATAAATAACATCCATTTGAACTTAACTGAAAAGTGCGGTCAGAAAAAAAAATTTTTTTGGGGGGGTGGGTCAAGGAAGAAATAATAATAATAGTAATAATAATAATAATAATAATAAGTTACTGTTACTCATGCCAAAGTGAGCAAACAAACCAAAACAATACATTCGAACTCAACTGAAAAGAGCGGTCAGAAAAAAAATAAAATATATTTGGGGGGGGGGGTCTTTGGGCCAAAGAAGAAAGGAATAGGGATAATAGTAACAATAGTTACTATTACTCAATAGTTATAGTAACAATAGTTACTATTACTCACGCCAAAGTGAGCAACCAAACAAACCAAAACAGCACATAAATAACATCCATAGGAAGGGTGACCAAAATAAATAAATAAATTCAAAACACATAAATAACATCCATATAAAATTAAGAAAGGAAAGAGTAGGGATAATAAGAAGAATAGTTACTATTACTCACGCCAAAGTGAGCAACCAAACAAACCAAGACAACATATAAATAACATTAATAGGAAGGGCGACCAAAAAAAAAAAATTCAAAACACATAAATAACATCCATATACACTTAATTTAAAAGGGCAGCCAAAAAAAATTGAAAACGCATAAATAATATCCATATAAACTTAAGGAAGGAAAGAATAGGGATAATATATATATATATTGTATATACATATAATATTTATAATATTATAGTGTAATACAGTATAATACTAATAATAATATGATATAATTATATATTTTATATTACAAGTAATATTACTAATAATTTTACAATATAATTGTATAGTACAATATAGAGATGCATAGCGCTGATATTGTACTGTGCTAATGGTTTAATGTATTGTGTATATATATATATATATTGATCTTGTAAGCCGCTCCGAGCCCCCTTCGGAGCGAGAAGGACAGCATATAAATGCTGCAAATAAAATAAATAAATATTACTAACGCCAATGTCGGCAACAAAACACATCCAAACAACACATAGATAACATCCATAGGAATTTAACATAGAAGAACGACCAAAAAATTATAAAAACACATAAATAACATCTATATAAACTTAACGGAGTTAACGTAAAAGGGCGGCCAAATTTTTTTTAAAACAACACATAAATAATATCAATATACACTTAATTTAAAAGGGCAGTCAAAAGAAATCATAAATTCCCCCCTATTCAAATCACATCAGAAGGATCTCAACAAATTATACTAAAAGTACAGAATGGGGAGTGATGTCATGGAAAGGAATGAGGAAACAAGAAGCCCCTCCTCTTTCAAGGGACCAAAAAGGGGGGGTCCGGCTCCCCCCCCCCTCAGCCTTTCTTCCCCCCCCCCCCCCCAAAGTGCCACGTCATACTTCCTTTCCTGTTTGGGAGGGGAGAGTTCCTTGGAGGCGAAGAGAAAGGACATTCACCCCCTCCCCCCCCAAAAAAACCGGAAATCCCCCTCCCACTCGCTGTTTCCGCCACAGAAGGGGATTGTGGGCCTTGCTCTCTCTCTCTCCCCCTCCTGCCAGAATGGCGCCCCCCTCTCCTTAAAGGGGAAGGACTACAACACCCAGCATCCCCTCCAAGAAGCCTGCCTCTAGTTCCTTTTTTAAGGGGGGGGGGTCTTATTCTTCCCTCCTCCAAAAGGTCTTTGGTGCATCGAAAGGGTCCAGAGATGGGGTGGGGCTGCTTCTGCTTTGGTGAGAGGAGGGGGGGGGCTTGGCATGCCTTTACTCAAGGAGAGCTCACATCTTAGGAAGCCCTTCTTTCTTTCATTCCTGCCCAAGCTTCGTGGTTTTTGGTCTCCCCCCCCCCCTCTATTTCTCCAGGATCTAGGCGGGGTCAGTGGAGGGAAGAGAGAGAAGCACATTCCGCTTACCCCCCCCCCCACTTCCTCCTTATTATATGGCGGCAAAAGCGGCGGGAGGGGAAGGAACAAGGGAAGGAATGAAGGAAAGGAAAAAGAGAAGGAAGAGGAGAAGAGAGCAAAGAGGAGGGAAAAGGAGGGAGGGAACAAGGAGAGGAAGGAATGAAGAGAAGGAAGAGAGGAAGGGGGAAAAGAAGGAAAGAAAAGGGGAAAGGAAAATAAAGAAAGGAACAAGGAAGGAAAGAAAAGAAAGAAAGGGAAGGAAGGAGAGAAAAGAAGGCAGAGGGAAAAGGAAGGGAAAGAAAGATAAGAGAGGGAAAGAGAAAAGGGAAAGGAAAGGGGAAAAACGAAGGAAATAAAAAGGGAAAGAGGTAAAGAAAGAAAGGAACAAGGAAGGAAAGAAAAGAAGGATGAAGGAAAGATAGAGAAGAGAGAAAAGAAGACGGGGAAAAGGAAGGGAAAGAGAGAAAGAGAAAAAGGAAGGGAAAGGAGACAGGGAAGGGAAAAAAAGGTCCAAGGGAAAGACAAAAAATAAGGGGAAAGGAACAGGAAGGAATGAAAAGGGAAGGAAGGAGAGGAAGAGAAAAGGGATAAGGAAGGATAGGAAGAGAAGGAAGAAAATCAAAAGGGAAGGAGAGAAAAGAAGGTGGAGGGAAAAAGGAAGGGAAAGAAAGCAAAGAGAGGGAAAGAAAGAGGAAAAGGGAAGGAAGAGATGGAGGGAAAGGGAAAAAGGAAGGAGAGACAAAAGAAGGGAAAAGTTACAGGAAGGAATGAAAAAAAGGAAGGAAGGAGAGGAAGGGAAAAGGCATAAGGAAGAGTAGGAAGAGAAAGAAGGAACGCAAGAAAAGAAGGGAAAAGGGAAAGAGAAAAAAGGAGGGGAAAAGGAACAGGAAGGAATGAAAAGGGGAAGGAAGGAGAGAAAGAGGAAAAGAAAGGAAGGGAAAAGGAACAAGGGAAGAAAGGAAGGAGTGAAGGAAAGAGAAAAAGATGGAAAAGGGATGAGAGTGAATGGCATTTTGGCAGAAAGGGGGGAATGTAGGCAAGGCCTCCCCCCTGAAGACAAAAGCCCTGGCCGAAAGAAGGAAAAGAAAAGAGCGTGCCTTCGCCTTCTTGTGCAACACCCCCAGCTTCCTCCACAAATTGTGCAACTCTTCCTCTTTGAGAGCAGCAGGAACCCCCTCCTTCCCCTTTTTTTTTTTGGCTACTTAAAGGGGGGTTGGCTAGTATTTTTCCATTCCCTCTCCCCCCTCTTTTTTTTTCCAGGCGGGATGTCTGGCCCTTTTCTGGCTGGCAACGGGCCCCACCCTGGACACAAACACGGCCAACCGGGCCGGGCCCTGTTGCTGGGAGGGGCTGTGGCACCCACCCTATGAGCCATATATGGCTCATGAGTGGGGGGGGGGTCAGTCCTGGGCCACACCTGGCCTCCTCATTATTATTAATATTGCATTTATATCCTGCTTTGATCTCTCTTTGGATTTTTGGACAGAGGATATAAAACTAGCAATAGCAAACTTGGGCCCTACAGATGTTTTGGACTTCAACTCCCACAATTCCTGGCCTCGGGCCCTTTCCTTTCCCCTCAGCCACTTAAGCAGCTGAGGGGGAAAAGGAAGGGGCCCGAGGCCAGGAATTGTGGGAGTTGAAGTCCAAAACATCTGCAAGGCTAAAGTTTGCCAATGCCAGATACAAAAGGAAGTGGTTTTTGTTTTCTTGAGCATAAGGAGACTTGGTGAAGGTTCATCGGGAGATAAAAGGGGGGAGAGGCTGGAGTTCCCTATTATTTCCATTGGCACAATGCTCCCCCCCTCATTTTTTTCCTTCTGGGTTAATATTCAACTCTAAGGAGGAGGAGAAGGCATTCTGGGCAGCTGACTTGTTCCTCTGTCCCGGTGCCAACCAGC